CCAGTGTACCCAAGTCCTAACCTAGCAATTCTGCTATGTGCATCCAGACAGGACTCCTGCCCAGTGGACGACAGTCCTCACCTCACCTTACTGCTATGTGCATCCAGACAGCATTCCTCTCCTAGCAGACCCCAGTCCTCACCTCCCTTTTGTGCCATGTCCATCCAGACAGCACTACTCTCTGAACAGACCCCAGTCCTCACCTGGCCTTTCTGCTTTGGGCATCCAGACAGCATTCCTGCCCAGCAGACACCAATCCTCACTTCGTCTTTCTGCCATGTGCATCCAGTCAGCACTCCTCTGCCAATGAACTCCATTCCTCATCTAGCCTTTCTGCTGTTTGCATCCAGACGGCACTCCTGCCCATCAGACCCCAGTCCTCACTTCACCTTTCTGCTACTGTACATCCAGACAACACTCCTCTCCTAGAAGTTTCGAGTCCTCACCTCTCCTGTCTGGCATGTGTATCTAGGCAGCACACCTCTCCCAGTGCAGGGGAGGACTTGGGTGCTCTAGCAGAGGAGTATTATCAGGTTGCACACTAGCAGTAAGGCAGGGTTGAGTACTGGGGTCCGCTGGGCAGAAGTGCTGGCCAGATGCACATAGCAAAAAGACGAGGTGAGGACCAGAGTTGTTGCGTGAGGTTTCATGAGGGACAAGCAACTTTATCACAGGTGCAAGCTCACTCCTGAAACTGTTTAAAAAGCAAGAGACAGACTACAAGCTCATGATGGCAAGTAGCAATGATCTTTATTTCTGACCACCTTATATAGCAGGTTGGTCACGTACATGCCACTGATCAACAATCAAAGCATTCTTACCATTAATATTTTCTAAATTTATTTCAACCTTCAAAGAAGACACAGTCTGGAAACTCGAGATTACTAAAAAGGGAGTAAGACTGAAAACTCAAGATAACCAAAAAGGGAGTAAGACCTTGAGTTTTACCATGCACTCATTATATTGCAGAAAACAGGTTTATGGCTTTTGTTATCTGCAGTCTGGAGGCCATGCAGCTTTACAATGTACATTTTCACATACATCAACCTCTGGGCCGTGTCTCTGCAGGAAGGGCTGTCAACCCCTTTCCTTGCAGGCTTAATGGCCACATAGATCAGAGTTGCTGAAGGTGGACTTTTACCTCCAGACCTTCAGGCCCTGTCATGCTGACCAAGGCAGCCAGGTCTTCAACAGAGCTACATTCCACAAAAGCCTATTTGCCTGTTACTGAAATTTAAAGTGAGCACACAGCATGTGGGATTTTATCCCACATTTCCCCTTTCTTTTTTCTGACATGAGGCATTCATATCTGTCATCATTAAAGCAAAAACAACAGTATGTCTCCTATTCTCTTCTTGCGTCTGATTAACTCTTCTACAAATAATATACAAAATCAAAGCTAATATTAAAAACAAAGCAAATGATTCAATAGAACTACCAATTAAACCTTGAATCTTAGTCATAGGATTAATTTGCTCAATACCATCTGCAATCTCCTTCCATACCTGATCACTGTCAATCTTCTGTAATTTGTTCTGAAAAGTGGAATACACTTTATGCTGTAAAGTTACAATTTCTTCAGTCAAATTTTCATGATTTAACAATGTTTTTTAACTTTATCCCAAGGGAATTCTGTTTCATTATACATAACAGGTGTAATACAAAATGTAGTCATATTCCAACCACATTCCAATCTAACCTGTTTTTTCAGGCTAATCAATTCATCACCCAACATTACAAGATTGTTTGAGGTCAGAATTTTCATTATACAATTTGGTATCAATTTGTTTTTGAGAAATCCATAATTGTTCAGAATTTTTATGCCAATTAGCAACGGCATTCTGAGTTTTAATTCCTTGGGTAAGGGCCATGCCAGCAGTTGCGGCAGTTGCAGTTACAGTGATGATCCCCAAGATGGCAGCAGTCAACAATCCGAGGAACCTCTTGCTTCTCTTCAATATTCTATCTGGTAGCAGTTGTAAGATCGACAGGGCTGGAGATTCCTGCCATAGTCTTGTCAGGTTAACAGGAAGCCACACACCTGTACAGGCTCTCAACAAATACAGCTGTTCTTTGGAAGGAAGGATCAAAACTAACAGAATTATTAATGCAAGTGAACATTTGACATTTTGGACAAAAGAGTTCTCCTGTGGCTTCTTTTCACAACACATTACCTTTTAGCCATACAAATGGTAATTGTAAACAAGCTTGCACATTCTTAATTTCTTTAACTTCAAAATGTACGTTGTAGGAGTCTTTACTTTTACGTTGTCCTCCAACCCATGCTTTAATGGGTTGTAATGCTGCTGCTACCTTCCATAAATGCCTTTGTTCTGGATAAGTAGCAATGCTTGGAGATGGTGGAGTAAACCCACCATTAATCCAATGCAAAAGATAAGTACTAATGGTAAGAAATTCATTTTTATTACCAGGTATATAAATAGGAAAAGGGGCACCAAACACAGTTTCCATAGAGGGAACTGGTGCCCAATCTCTAACATATCCTTGAGAGGTATAGAAAAATAAATAAGGAAATTTCCCTTTACACTTTGTCCAGTGAATACACTCCATCAGTAAAAGTATGCATCTCACAAGGTGGCAATTCTATGTTAGATTGTCTGGGATGGTCTTGAGCTTTCTGAAGCACATTAGCACTTACCACGGATGCCTCATCTATTACATTCAAATTCTTTTCATCAATTTTATGAAGGCTAACCCAAGCCTGTATTTTCATCTTAAGACAATGAGGCTGATTACCAAAACAGATAGGAGGACCAGTTATTCCAGTAGTGTAATTAAAGACAAGTGTACCTTCTTCTTCAGGTTAAAATGGGCCTCTGTTGTCATATGAACTGGGCATCCATACTGAATCATTAACATAAATGGGTAGCGTTGGCTCTAGCCAACTGACCCCTCTCAATAAAGGAGGACTGGGGACTTAAGTCCAATAATGAAAATCCTGTGCTGAAGAAGGAGCAATCATAAGAGCTAACATAGCCATAAATAAATTTACAGGTGTTACCTTGTGATGTTTTTTAATTAACATCAACGTGGCTTGCCTTCCTATCTTCTGAAACTGTTTCACCGTCCCTAGAGTCCTGCTGGATGGTGTTTTCCTCTTTCTCCTCCTGGTTTTCAAGGTTAGGTTTTGAAGTCTCGTTACTGTGTTGTCCATCTCCTCAGACTGGAGTCTGATCCTCTTTCGTGGTCTACCCACTCAGATCAGGTTGATCAGATTGTCTTAATTTCAAATTCTTATCTGGAACCCAAAGATTATGCTTTCCTGTAGAGATATAAGCATAGCCTCTACCCTAACGTGTAACACTTGCTGGGGTCCAATCATTATTCAAATTAGAATAATAATTATATTCTTTATAATAAACTGGCTGATTTAATAATGGTGTTGTCATCGTGACCCAATGTTTAAATGCTGGTGTTTCACCATCTTCATTTAAATTCAAAAAATTTAAAGTAAATAAGGCTGATAATATTCTATTTCTAGGAGTAGTGTTATACTGTCCTTCCCCCTTTTTTTGTTTTTGAAGAATTTCTTTTAAAGTTCTATTTTGTCTTTCAATTATTGCCTGACCAGAACTATTTCCTGGTATACCTATGATATGTTTAATATTATGTAATTAAAAAAAGCTTTGGCACTTATTAGAAATAGAAGCTGATTCATTATCTGTTTTAATAGTTTCTGGTTTTCCCATAACAGAAAAAGCTTCTAAAAGATGAGTGATTACAGCATCAGCCTTCTCAGATGTTAAAGCTGAGGCCCAAGAAAAGTGGGAATAAGTATCATCTGAATAATGTATATATTTTAATTTACCAAATTCTAAAAATTGAGTAACATCCATTTGCCATATTTGATTGGATAGAAGACCTGTAGGATTAACTCCCATAGGTAAATGGGGTGTTATCAAAGAATGACATGTGGGACAATTTTTAATTATAGTTTGAGCTGTGTGCCATGTAATACCATGATGTTTCTTTAATGATTGTGCATTACTATGATGCAATGTATGCTCTTGTTGTGCAGATATAACAGATCCAATTACACTGATTAATTGATCAATAATTTCATTTCCTTTAGTTATTTGGCCAGGTATCCTAGAATGGGCCCAGGCATGGGTAATAAAAATTGGGAATTTTCTATTCCTACTTAAGCTTTGTAAATTATGAAACAACAACAAATTCAATTCATTTGAATTTTCTAATAACGTCACAGTTTCTATCTGTTGCACAACATGGATAGAATAAATTGAATCAGAGACAATATTAATTGGAATATTAGAATAATTGGCTAATAACATAACTATGGCATACAATTCTGCCTTTTGTACTGAGGTATAAAGGGACTGTTCAACCTTCTTTACATCAGGGTCTACATATCCTGAGGTGCCAGCCTTGTTGGCATCAGTATAAAATGTCATTGCTTCAGGAATAGGTTCCAATTTGACAATTCTAGGTAGAATACAGAAAGTTTTCTTAAGAAATTGTATTCTTTTGTCTTGGGGAAAATGATTATCAATTAATGCCCACATAATCTGATAATGCAGTTTGCCATTCAGTATTGAATGCCATTAAATCACAGATATCCTGATTAGTTAAAGGCACAACTATTTTTTCTGGGTCTTTCCCAATTAATTGTCTAAGTCTGTGCCTCCCTTTAAGGATTCCTGCAGCCATTTGGAGATATAAGGTCTCATCTTCTTAGCTGCTTTGTTAGGCAAAAAGCACCATTCTACAAAAGCCATTTCTTACACTATTAACCCAGTGGGAGAATGAACAGATGGGAAAATATGAATATAAAAATTACTAATTTCTGAAATACAATTTAATTGAAAATCTTGAATATGTTGCTCAATCCATTGTAATTCTTTTCAGCTTCAGGAGTTAATTTTCTAGGGCTATCCAACTTTGGGTCTCCTTCTAAAGTGGAGAATAAATTCTTAAGAATGCCCAGAGTAGGTCTAATCCAATTAATATCTCCTAATAATTTTTGAAAATCATTTAAAGTTTGCAAACAATCTTGTCTAATTTGAATCTTTTGAGGAATTATTTTTTGGGCTGTTGTTTTATAACTTAAATATTCCCATGGTTCATTCCCAAGTCTGAATCTTATCATCAGAAATTTCTAAGCCATATTCTTGACAATGTTTTTGTACTGCTTGAAACATTAACTGTAATTCATTATTAGCAGCATGAGCTATTAAAATATCATCATATAATGTAAGCACACTCCTTCAGGAAATTATTTCCTCACCAGTTCTAAAGGTTGATCTACAAACAAATGACAAAGAGTAGGGCTGTTAAACATGCCCTGTGGCAAAACCTTCCAATGATATCATTTTGCAGGCTTTTCAGCATTTAAAGCTGGCACTGTAAAAGCAAATCTTTCAGCATCTTTAGGCTGCAATGGGATAGTAAAAAAGCAGTCTTTAAGATAAATAATTATTAGTGAATGAGATTTAGGAATTAAAGCTGGATTAGGTATTCCTGGTTGTAGTGTTCCCATAGGAACTATTACAGCATTAATTTTTTTCAAATCAGTTAGCATTCCCCATTTTCCTGATTTTTTCTTGATAACAAAAATAGGGCAATTCCATGCACTAGCTGTTCTTGTATTAGAGAATGAACTGCCTCTACCTTTTCAAGAGTAAGAGGCCACTGTTCCACCCATGCAGGCTTATCTGTTTGCCATTGTAGTGGAAGAGCAAAATGTTGTACTGTAGCCCAAACAAAAATATCTTCTGTAAGTACAGGCATTACCAAACCAGTTTTCTTATTTCCTTTTCAAACTATTGCCCGTTTTTCTAGGGGAGCTGGTAAAAGATCATAACCCATTTTAAACATAATATTTTTAGCAGATTCAGAAACAGTATGAATAGTTAGCATGGCTCTGCACTGTTGTAAAATGTCTTCTCCCCATAGTGATAAAGCAATGGGGGCTATGTAGGATTGAACTCTAGCATCTTGGCTGTCAGGGCCTTTGCATTCCAGAGTTTCAGTGCTTTGTTCTATATCGGACATAGTTCCAAGTCCTATAAATGTAGCTTTTACTCTGGTTTTAGGCCATTGTTGTGGCCACATATGAAAGGCTATAATAGACACATCTGCTCCTGTGTCTATTAGCCCTTTAATCTGAATATCATCCTTAAAGCTGATCTTGCACTGTGGGTGGGAGTCATTTAAAAAAGTATGCCAATAGACTTGTTTTCTCGTGCTAACAAAGCCTCCCTATTGGGCTATTGGAGTGGCTTTCCCTTTATGAGAATGTAGTATTAAAATTTGTGCCACTCTTAGTCCAGCTTGTAGCTGAAGTGACTTAGTTGAAGAGGCCATAATAAGAATTTCTCCATTATAATCTGCATCAATTATTCCCAGATGAAAATTAAGACCTTCTATAGTAAGACTACTTCCTAATATAAGTCCTACTATCCCCTTAGGGATTGGTCTGTAAATTCCAGTAAGTAGTTTTTTAGGAGAGTCAGCAGAAGAAATTTCAACATCTGTTAATACTGGCAAATCTAAAGCCACACTTTCCTGAGTGGCATGGAACAAATCTTGTACATGTAACTGTGTTACTAATTCTTTTTCAGATTCATCGGGGCATACTCTGACCCACTGCTGACTGGATAACTCGCATTCTTTGAATCTGGGCCCCAAGCCAGGCCTGTTTGGGAGTTTTGTGATTCATTACTTGCCTCAGTTTCTTTCTTTGATGGCAATAAATTGCCATCCTTATCACGAATGGAACGACACTCATTTGTCCAATGTTGGGTGGTAATTTCTCACAGGGAGAGCCAAACGGCTTGGCTGCAGGTGCAATCTCACTCCTGGAATTGTATGAAAGCAAGAAATGACTATAAGCTTTTGGGTGGCCTGTAGCAAATCATCTTTATTTGTGACAACCATTTTTTTTTTCTTTTGAGGCAGAGCCTCAAGCTGTTCCCCTGGGTAGAGTGCCCTGGCATCACAGCTCACAGAAACCTCCAACTCCTGGGCTCAAGTAAGCCTCCTGTCTCAGTCTCCCAAGTAGCTGGGACCACAGGTGCCTGCCACAACCCCCAGCTATTCTTTGGTTGCAGCTGTCGTTTGGCGGGCCTGGTCTGGATTCGAACCCGCCACCTTAGGTGTATGTGGTGGGTGACTTAGCCACCTGAGCCACAGACACCGAGCTACGACTACCTTTTATAGTGAGCTAGTCATGTACACCACGTTGATCAATAATCTTAACATTCTCTATTCTTATCTTAGACTATAGAAAAGACAGCGCCAGCCACGTACACCTAAGGTGGCGGGTTCGAATCCCCAGCCCGGACCTGCCAAACAACAATGATGGCTGCAACCAAAAAATAGCCGGGCGTTGTGGCGGGGGCCTGTGGTCCCAGCTACTTGGGAGGCAGAGGCAGGAGACTCGCTTGAGCCCAGGAGTTGGAGGTTGCTATGAGCTGTAATGCCACGGCACTCTACCCAGGGGGACAGCTTGAGGCTCTGTCTAAAAAAAAAAAAAAAAAAAAGAAAAGACAGAAGGTCCGGTAAAGTAAGATAACCATCTTAAGACTAGCCTCAAGCTATTCCTCTAAAGACCTAAAGCAACCCTGCATTATCTGACTTCCGTTGTCAAAGGTCAGAACAAACAGGGATGTAAAACTTTTTTCTTCCATGTACTCAATTAAGTTTCCAAGAAACAGGCTCAATGACTCTATTTTCTTGTCGTTTTGGAAGCCACTTGCTTTTACGATGGAGTTTTTCACTCCATCAACCTTTGAGCCATGTCTCCTGCACAGATGGGCCATAAACCCTTTTCTCGCAGGCTGACTGACTGCATGGTCAGAGTTCCATGCAGGAGGTTGTTACCACCTTGCCCGCAGGCCCTGTCATGCTCTCCCAGGCAGCTAAGCTTCTACAAAACGCACAATACTTACGAGTCCTTTTGCTCAGTTTCTGGAATTAAAAGAGCACGTTTCATTTAGCTAGTTTTATGTGGGCATTCCTCCCACATCCAATGCCTACCTTTACCACATCTGTGGCAAATTCCAGTAGGTTGAGGCTTAGATTCCTCTTTTGACCCTTCCCCTTTTTGGCATTCTTTTCTAGTATGTCCAAGTTTTCCACAATTAAAACACTTAGGTTTTCTTCTAACTACTTGTAAGATTGAAGCAATAGCTGTAGCCATAGCTGCTGCTTGTAAAGTCGCTTGGAATGTGCCAGACCTGACCTCTCTGCAAGTACGCAGGTATTGCTCTATGGTCACATTTTCCTGGTTCTTGATTC